AGGAACAAAATGTGACATAGAAGCCTATTTGCATTTGTATACATATGGGATTTTTTAAGCCTTCATTTGCATGACTTAATGTCACTCTCATAATAATCCTATGAAGTAAGTGCTATTATTACCCCATTTTACAGATGCAACCGCTGAGGTCCAAAAGTGGCATTGAGGCTGTAAAGCAATGCGTCTCAGGCCTCATAACAAACAAATAAGTGGTGGGACTTTGGTCTGGTTGCCTCTAGAGACTACCATGCTAACCGCTACGCTTTTTTCAGCAGTCATACATAGGAAAATCTAAAAGGCCTGCACCAGATGGCTCACGGTGAACACATCCCAGAAGTGAGATTGGAGAAAGCGGCACGTCTTGTTAATTTTGGTCTCAGAGTGGTGCGTGGGGCTGATCTCATGGTCATGAGACTGGAACAAAAGGCGGTGATAGCTACTCATCACTGACCTGCACTTCTGGCATTTCTGAACTGTTTGAAGTTGTAAAAACAGCCATGGGTTCATTTTGCAATTAAAACGTCAAAACAACAAAACCACCACCAACGCAAAAAAACTCTGCCAAGAAACACAATCAATTGAAAGCATCAAGCCCACAGCCAGCCCGAGGCCGCTCCTTGCCTGGGCCGGGTGGGGTTGGGACAGGCGAGACGGGGACACAGCTCTGTGGCCAAGAAAGCCGGGGGACACTGGGTTAGACAGAGTGAAACAGGTCTTTCTTTGGGGTAACTGCAGAGCTTCAACGGGCCATCACTGACAGTGAAGTTAATACCAGACAGTCTGTAGCCGAGGCCATGTGGGTTTGGCGCTGAACCCTCTTATTTCCAAGTGTGTCATGGGACAACTGTTCTTTAGAAGGAGTGTTGGAAATGCAGCCCCAGACACTCGACGTGAAGTCAGTGGTGAAGAGGCGACGTCCATGAATGATATCCTGTTTCCCCCTGCTGCCCAACTCACCCTCGAGCTCAGTTTCCCTAGCGTGGCTTTCACTGAACGGAGGTTGGCTTTGCCCATGAACTGGTGGGGGTTTGTCTGAATTTGTAGGGTCCAGCCCATGTTTTCCATGTAGTCCTTGCCTCTGCCTCTGAACAGACATGTCACATACATTTTCCAGTGGTGCTAGGATAGGGACTGTGTGTGCACATGTGCACATGCGTAACTGAGAGAGACGCCCTGCACAGACCCTCTTCTACAGCAGACCCTGTGCTCAGCCTAAATTCTCACACGCATACACAGGAAACAAGTGAATTTGCAAAGCCACGGCACAAGTGTGAGGGGCTGGGTGGTTCAGCGGCCTGCTAACATGCTCAGCGGGGTCATCTGGAGTGGAGTGCCCTCCCTTTGGGTCACCATTTCTAGGAGGAGAATGTTCCTACTCTCTGGTAAGGATCTACTGTGTGTCAGGCAGCACCCTGGTGCTTTCTTTTCTGAGTCCCCACAAGCACTCGCTAAAGGAAGGAGATATTATTGCTCCTTTACAGACAAGTGAATTCCAAGAGGTGAAGTTCAAGGAAATGGCGGAACCACAATGGTTCCTGGCTCTGTCTGACTCTGAAACACGTTCTTTACTCTACACCACACCATCGGCCCTCTTGCCGTTGGTCTTACTCAAAGCTCTCTATGCTCATGGCCCCCAAAGGACAGGATCCAAGGAGAGTGACCTGGGCATCATGTCCTGAGTACCCTCCAGATGGACCTCTGTGCTTCTCCGAATGGCCTTCTGGAAGCTCCAAGTCTGTGTCCTCAGGCCGTTGTCCTACCCATCACTTGGTGCTTTCCCTGCTATTCCTGAGCTCAAAGGCCAAGGGACGCTGGCTGCTTTATCTGTCAGCATGAGCCTGAAGGGGGGCGGCTTATGCCTGTCCAGAGAGAAGATGAGCCCCCCCTCAAATTCAGGCAGCATGTTCCAGGCCTCACAAAAGGCTGCAGACCTTGGAGCTGGGGATGGGACAGAGGCGGGAAAATGCTGACTGGATGGAAACTGTGTGTCAAGAAAAACTCCAATGGTGGAGGGTGAGGCAGGGGAACCTGGAAAGTCTGGTTCGGGGGGGACTCCCCCAGAAACTGAGGGCTGAGAGTTAGAAAGTGAGGGGGTGGGCAGGTAGCTGAATATTGCCTCCCTGAGCCTCCCCCTTCCTGGGGTTTGAGGCAGGAATCAGCAGGACCAACAGGCCCTTACCATGCAGCGGCAATGGGTGTGGGCTGGAGTGGGGGTGGGGGGACATTTGGTGCCGCTTGGCAGGGGCAGGAATGGCTTCTTTCCGTGTGGAAGTTCAGTCATTCCTTGCCCAGGGTCAACTGCACCCTGTTTGGGGTAAAAATAGCCCTTTTCCCATCATTCTCTCTCTATTCAACTTCCCAGCATCCGGTCAGGTACTTCCGCCCTGGAGGCCCTATCCCAGTGGCAAATATCCGCTCACATATCCCAATGGGAGGGGTCCTCCTTCTTGCAAGCACTGCTGGTCACTGAGGCTAAAATCTCTTCTCACGTGTCCATCCGGATGTTCTGGGTGACTCCCCTCTAGTTCTCTCACAGATCTTATGTTGGAGCTTGCTCAGCAGTTGGAGGGTTGCAGGTCTCCTGACTGGAGCCTTCTATCCCTGCTCCATGGGGCAGGGCCCCACAGCCTAGGTTGTTACCCTCTTCCAGGGCCTGATCCCGCCACTGCCTTGTTCAGGGGTCTCGGAAGGCAGTGTCTGGTCCTCACTGGCCTCAAGAGACCCATCCATAATGGTACGAGGCTCTCGACTTAGGGATTTCTAGAGGCCTTTTTAATACTTTTTAATTAATGCTTCTCCGAGAAAAATGCTCCCAGTGAGGTGGCAGCAAGGCAGAGGCTGCAACCAACATCCGAGAAGGAAAGCGAGTCCCGATCGCTCTGCATCCCTCCTACCTGGCCCCCAGCAAGCTTCTTCTGTCTTCCAGTCCGAATACCCAGAAGCCTGGTCCCACGCCAGCCGGGCCCACTGCGGTGATATCATCCCTCCCGGCCCGCGTCCCAGCTCCCAGTGCTCCTTACCTGCCCAGCCCAGGAGGCCTCTGGCCCCATTCACATGGTCCTCCTGGCCTGGCCTGGCTGCCCAGACACAGTTTCAGCTCCCCTCACCGTCGTAGCCACCGCCTGTCTCCCCGCGCCCACGTCCCACCCTGACTTCCTGCCTCCTCCTAAGGGCTCTGCAGCCAACCGGGCCCCAGCGGCCCAACCACAAGCCTCCAGCACCCTGAGCTTCCTGCCGCCATAGCCCCCTGCCCCTCAGCTCCTGAGGGTCCAATACATGCTCAGGCCAGGTTCCCCCTCAGCCTGAGAAAGACCTTTGGAGGCGAAGGGAAGATACCCGGACAAGGGCAACATTTAAACCCCCATGAACAGGGGATTTACAGGGAAATGCAAATTGTACTGTGGTCACAGTGTGAGAGCTGAGTGACCCTTACGTCACAGTTTGGAGGCGAAAGTCCAAGAGGGGTCAATGTCCTTGTGAAGCAGGTGGACATCAGAACACCTTTATTCTATTCAGACATCAGGCTAACTCCGTCCTCTAGCTGGCAACTGAACAGTAGCCTTGTCCTCTCAGGGCACAGGACCAGAGATGTATTCTGGTCAGGGGGTAGGCTGCCACCCCTCTGTGGACAGAGGGCTGGACAACAGGCTGTTGAAGGAAGGAGGCAGGACAACCCCATGTTCTCAAGAGGCCTCCACTGTGAGCTAGAAGGCTGAACATCATCCACGGGAGAGCAGGCAGCACTTTTAAGCCAGGTGGAGACAAGCTCATGGCCCTGTGAGAGGTGAGGCTGGCACCATATCTTGCGACAGGTGCAAGACAGAACAAACACTCCTGCCCAAGCACCCAGGTGCAGGCAGCTGACTGGCAGGACTTTGTCTTGTAAGCAAGAGGCAGGGACTTTGTGATCAGCAGCCAGCAGGTCAAGAATGTCTCTTTCCTCTGGGGCTAGACTGAGGGTGGCCTCACAGGCTAAGGCCACGAGTGTTGTGAGGAAATCCAGATGGCTTCTGTCAGCCCCAGGAGCTGGGCCTTGACCCCACCCAAAGGAAAAGTATAAATGCGTCACCACCATCACCACCTGGCTGAGTTTAAACTGAGTGAGCAAGTTGGGGGAGGGGAACCCGCAGAGCATTGTTGGGGTTTATGGGGTGGAAGCTGATGCTGTGTGCACCTCAGCTGCGGAGGAAAGGGGGGAGACAGGAAATAGGGGGGAGAGGAAGCCAGAGTTGGAAAGTCAAAGAGTAACACAGAAACAAAGACCCAACAATATAAAGTAAAAAAAAAAAAAAAAAAAAAAATCTATAGAATGACAGACTCCAGGCGCAAGTTCTAGCTCCTTGGTGCAAACCTCAGCACGCCACACTGGTCTCACCCGACACTGCAAATACCACTAGTGATCACAATGCTAAGCACTAGTTCAAACTTGTTGGGTATTTACTGTACATTATCTCACTTAAGACATATCCAGCTACTTTTGTAGAGGAGAATTAGCATTTCCATAAAGAAGGATTCTGGGTTAAGAGACCTCCTCAGGGCCCTCCCTGGTGGCACAGCACTGCAAGCTAGATGCAGCTGCTTCAGTGTAAGTTCGACCCCCAGCCCCGAAGGTGACCTACATGGCATGACCGACCTCTCCTGACCCGCCTGCTGCTCCTCTCAGCAGTGTACTTCATTGATCAGCCCATTCTGCTTCCCGCTCTGTCTCCGGTGAAGATTCTCATCACCCCTGCACCTCTGGCCTGTACCCCAGTTCTGTATGAATAAACAAATAAAGAGTTTAAAAGAGAGAGAGAAAGAGAGAGAGAGAGAGACTGCCTCAAGGACAAATAAAAAATAAAAAGAGCTGGTTTTGAGCCCACGTCTGCAGATCCTGCATTTTCCAGCAGCCATTTACCTACGTCGCCTTCCGTGGGGGAGATGCAGCAGATGACATACAGAGAAACTGGGCCTGAATAAATGACTGCGGAGGCCTTGATGGAAAGCAGAAGGGGCATTTATTGAGGAGCCTGGGGCTGTGTGCTCCTCCCCTTCTTCTCAAGCTCCTCTTTGCTCCCCCCACCCCAAGCTGGGGCAACAGTGTAGGGACAGTGTGCTGGGGCTTTATGCTTCCAAAGAAGCAGGGTTGGCCCATCCACCCAGCCTTTCCTCCGACTCGCCCGACCCCACCCACCTCTGCGGCACCCCTCTCTTCCACCTTCCCAGCAGGACTAGGGAAGGGGAAGTGAATGACTGAATGTCCCAGGAGGCAGGCAGTTGCCACTTAACAGAGGGTGAAGCGCCGCGCACTGATGTTCATTCGGGTGAGGCCGAGATGCCGCAACGGCGGGGCCAGCTCCAGTTCCAGTTCGGCCTCATCCAGCAGCTCCTGGTGCAAGTGACAGGCTTGGTCCACCTTCAGCCGGTGCAGCTGGGCCCGCAGCCTGAGCAGCTGTGCGGCCAGCTGCCGGTCTTGAGCCTGCATCTCCTGCTGTAGCCGAGAGGGGGCGTAAACCTGTCTGCCCAGCCCGCAGAGGTCTACTCGCTGGGTCTACTCACTGGGTCTACTCGCTGGGTCTACTCGCTGGGTCTTTCTGGAGGGGGGACTGTGTTCTCCCCACCCCTTCTCACAACCGGATCCCTACCCAGCTCTCAAACTGGAGTTCCTAAAACCAAACGAAGGGCCATTGTTAAGTAAATACGGGTGCAGGGCGCCTTCCAGATCAATCCAGTGACTCTCCAACAGGAAGCCTGGACATTGATGTATTCGCACATGTCATCTATTCAATATCTGCCCCTCAAATTCTGCTTTAGGCATGGAGAGTGTATCTTTTCCCAATTTACTGTATTTTGGGGTACACAATTCCCAGAGTAAAGGAGGCCATACCTTTCCCCCGACCCCATAATTGGTGGCCTCCACAGACAGAAGTTCTGTCCCTTGAACCGCAAGAGCACAAACAAGGTCAGCAGTTTTTGGGGATCCTTCTTCAGCAAGCTTTGTCAAAAAAACACACTCAAGTTCATTCCTGGCCCTCAGCTCCAGCACACAGCCACAGGAGGGGGTGTCCATTCTCATCTCCTCCCCACACCCTAAAGAGGACTGACCCCGAGGTCCACACTCACCAGCTCCTGTCGAAGCCACTCCAGGGCAGAATCCATCGAGTCAAAGCCACAAATGGCCCCAAGTCCACCTGACCCAGGTTTGGCTTGGACCCTGTGCCAGGCCTGGCTCTGGACCCGGGCTGTCCACTCCAGATACGAGGGCCGCCGTGTCTGCAGCTGCAGCTTGGCCGTCAGAGCCTTCACACAATCCAGGCTCTCTCCCTCCTCCTCATCTTCTTCACCGGCTGCCTGGAATTTCAGTGACCCCAAGGACATGGTGGGCTTGGGCTGAGTGATAGGGCAGGGCTAAAGCTCTGGAAATAGGAAAAGGTTAGCAATAGTGCCCAGGAGAGGTGGCAGGAACCAAGGGTAAAAGAAGTGTGCCAGGGAGCTTGCAAAGAAAGCTGACGGTGAATGCTGAAGGTGGGTCAGGGAGCTGAGTTAGGGAGGCTGGGGAGTAGATGGGTGTGGGAGGCTGAGCGTGCAAGGGCTGGAATTTTCCTGGCTGCTAATCTGGGAGCCACGTGATGCCCATCCGGGTGGGGGCAGGAGGGACCCTGCTCCTCTGGCTCCTTGAATCAATTTTATTGTCTTTGCCCAGAAGGAGACACCCAGTTTCCAGAAAGGAAGTTACTCCAGGATAAGGAAAGCATCATCTCCACCAGACTTGGCCCTCTTCCCAAGACCCAAGTTAAAGGAGTAAGGAGAGGACAGGAGGCTGATGAGAGGCCCTGTCCTCACTCATGACACTGGCCCTTTAGTAAGGCAATAGAATCCAGAGCACTGACTTGGGAGTCAGGAGATTCTGATTCTAGTTGCTGGTTCCAAGAGGCCTTGGACAAGTCACTGACTGTTGGGAAGTTGGATGCTTTTAAGTTTTATTCACAGGACTCCAAATTCCCTTGGGAAACCCTTCAAGACTGCTTGTCAGCTCTGGGTTGGCTCCTATACCTCCCTCTCCCAAGCCTTCTCAGGGCTTCAACCATAGCAGTTCCCCTTTTTAAACTTTGTATTAAAGTATAACATACACCCACCTGTAATTGAACACATTTATATAACCAGCACCAGATTAGGCAATTACCTGCATCGGGAGGCTTCCTTTGTGTTTGTGTGTCCTGAGGGTAATACTACCCTCATTTCTTTTAAGATATAGTTTTTATGCATACAAGAACTGGGGTGTAGGCCCGAAGTGAGAGGATTCACCAGAGATAGAGTAAGGAGAACAGGTAGATTTACTGAAATACACTGCTGAGGGGAGCAGAGGGCGGGACAGGAGAGGTCTGATGCACCATGTGGGTCAGCTCCCTGAGCAGGGATTGAACTCATGGCACAGTGACTGGCAATAACTTCATAGTGCTGTGCTTTAACCCCTGTGCCACCAGAGAGCCCGCTACTACCCTGGTTTCTGACAGCAGAGATTAGTTTTGCCTCCATATACTTTCCAGTGGTCTCTGACTTTAGCATACATAGGCAATTCCTTGGATGGTATTAAAACAGACTGCTGTTTCATCCTCCTGTAATTTACCAGTTTAAATTCTGTCTCTTGCCAGACTGAAAACCCTATGGACAACTGACCCTTCCTCAGTCTCAACACCAAATATAGGGTCAGTGTAAGAGCATTCCACACTTGGTCAGAGGATGAGCTGACCTGGACTGGGAGACACCTTCTAGCAGGGACTTCCAGCTGTGCTGGAAAGGGTGGGCACTGGTGCTTGTATTTAAGGTAGACCAAGGAATCCCTTCCCCTGCACATAGCCTCACAGGCAGGGAAGGCAGCAATTTCCTGTTTCATACCCACTTTTTCCACACAGGGGAAGAGATTGTTACTCTACTTTATTTATTTATTTATTTATTTTAAACAATATAATAGTTTATTTTTACATCATTTTGTACATTTTTTTAAATCTCAATTGTAATCCCCGTGGGTTTCCCATCACCAAGTCACCCTGTGCCGTCACCATAGTCCAGTGCATTTCCCTCCCCCCACTGTTTTTGATCCCATTCCCTACTTCACCCCCACAAAATGTCTCTGGTATATGGCTGTTCATTATTCTTATTATTTTCTCACCTTGTTCATTATACTCCTGCTATGAGCAAAACCATCCAGTATTTTTCTTTTTCTTTCTGGCTTATCTCACTAAGCATGTTCTTTTTCAGCTCGATCCAAGTTGCTGTGAAAGGCATGTGTTTCTTCTTTTTGGTTGCTGAGTAATATTCCATTGTGTCTATGTACCACATCTTTTTAATCCAGTCATCTACTTTTGGGCATTTGGGCTGCTTCCATGT